CTCGCCAATGGTCGCACTCAGTCAGATCCCCTTCTTTTGGACCTTCACTAAGATGCCCTGCATCCAGTCGACCGGAAAAGTCGCGGTGTCCCAGATATTACAAAATAGTTGATGCAACATTCGAGCGGATAGAATGGAGTCAGCTTTGAGCATCTCTGCTGATATGCGATCGACCCCTGGAGCCTTGTTGAATTTCATGTTTCGGATAGCTGCTTCTATCTCCTGCAGTGATGGAGCCTCGTAATTGACGCGAGTGATGCGCCGCACCCTAAGCGGATTATGCCGAGATGTTGATGGCTGGTTGGCCGTCGAAACTTGAAGAAGTTGTTCGAAGTGCTCAAATTAGCGTTTCAGCTAGTCAGTGGGTCGGTAAGCAACTGGCCAGTCGTGTCCTTCCCTGGCATCCTCAGGTTCATCGCTGCTCCACTCAGGCGTCGTAAGATATCGTATAGGAGGCGTATATTTCCAGTGTTTGCTGCTTTCCCCCCTTCGTCGGCCAGGGAGTTCACCCACACTCGCTTGTCTCGTCTGCAAGAGTGCTTGACTTCCTTTTCTAGAGCGATTTTTCTCATTTAGTTTATTGAATTATTTGTTTTTTTTTTTTAGTTAGGTAGGTTCTGATTCTACAAATTGTAGTTTCATTTTTATACCTATGATCTTTACTTTGTTACCTAAGGGGGCTAGGTTTTGATAAGTTCTTTAGTGGGAATGACACTGATGAAGACGTCAAGTCGAAATACGTATATGTGATGGAAATTACTTCATACACAGAATCTTCATCGTATATGCTTCTCCGACTTCGGAATCCCAGAGCATTATCGTTCCATGATTGTTCCGTCAATTTTCGCTGCAAAGTTTGACCAAGTTGATTCCGCAAGAATCATAGCGCCTCTCGAATGCTTCAAGCTCCTTGTTGCTGAGCTGGCGGCAATACATTATACGCTTGAAACTATAGCCTCACTTGCACCAGATCACTACTTTATTTTTACGGATAGTCTGAGTTCTGTCGATTCCGGGCAATGAGAGGGCGGACTCGCTTGCAAAGGTGGGCGCTATGGAAGGCGATATTTACGATCAGTCGCTCGTCAGCTGGTAGAATAAATGGAGTGAAGGGTGTTTGGGACTATGGCTATATTCGATCATCCCTAAGGTTTCGAAGATTCCTTGGGTTGGAGGTGGGTCGAGACTTCATTCGTGTGATGCTTCGCCTCATTTCCAATCACTGTTTCAGGGGAAACATGTCAGAAGGGTCTAACTCGAAACGTAAACAATGACTTGAATCGTCGGTTTCTTACGAATGACTACACACCCACTCAAACTAACTAAATCATATGACAGTGATATGTTTTCTCTATGAGCTAGTGTAGCCAGATTCCATGGGTGTGTGGTCATTCAAGAGAAATCGACGTTCAAAGTCATTGTTACGTTTCGAGTTATACCCTTCTGACATGTTTCCCCTGATTTGTTAAACTCTCACTTGTTCCATGTTGGCCTGGAGGACACCAATCTCTGTGAATGTGGACAAGGTTACCAGGACGCAGATCATATTATTTGGTCATGTGCTGAGCATCGTGGAGTCAGATCGAAGTAGGCCGCGCTGCGAAAATGACGTGTTTTTGTTTTACTGCGTCGTTTTCGTTCTAGTGAAAATGTTACAAATTTAAAATTTAATTTTTAAAGGTGTTTATTTGAAAGTACAGAAATGATGTGCATTAAGTGAAAATTTACAAATTCTTATCCATTGCATGTGGTGCCGACTGTTCTAACCTACGCATAGCTACGCTCAGCTAAGTTTATTTACCTTTTCGTTCCTCTGTCCTCGATAGGAAACATCCATCTAATTCAAGACGATCATTTCAAAACTTACTGAATACGCGTCAATCGAGTATTGCACTACTGCTTGATTGTAAAGTTCAGTACATTATCCTTCATTCCTTTATTTAACGTCGGTCTCTGTTCCGCAATCTAGTGCCAATCACCGACGGACATCGATTGCAGGAGACTGGCAACCCCATATCAATCCTATACGTTTGACAGTAGGCAAGATCACGGGCCTTATTTAAATACGGCCCGCCTGACGTATACATGAAGGAAAGGGACGCAACATCGTGTTGTGAGCAGAAAGACAAGAGCAGATGAAAGCATCAAAAACATGGCCGCCAGCCAGGCCCCTGATCTATTGCCATCCATTGACGGCAATCGAATGTGCAAGGAAGGCAGCTTCAAAACCTGCGTAGGATATCGCACCCATTCAACACACATGGCCCGGGACCAGCGGCTCTACTTCCCTTGCGAAGGATCGATAATGTATTGACGTTTCTTAATTCCAAAATCTGAAGACTGTTTTGGATAATATGTTTAGGTAATGGGCAGCAACAACGGACAGATAAACTTCTTACAGCTTCTATTTATTAAATGCTTGATATAACGATTGCCAGAAACGCCGGCTGGGCGTATCCTATGGCTTACCCTCCCTACTAACAAAAATCCACCCTTCCCGTGACACTTATGAGAGGTCGTATAGTTCTCTGCATCTCTTTTAAGTAAGTGTCGGAATAACATTCCTCCTCTTTCCCCACCAGATGCAAGGACGTGGCCAGGATAGCTCTGGTCTGTTGGAGGGAGGTGGGTTACATCAGTTTGGAGCTCGTACCACCTACGACATTGTGCAATCTCGAGCTGTCGAGCGGGCTCGAGGAAGACAACCTAATGTTCCAGTTCGGGATGTTTTAGCTGGACGCGATCTAGAGTTTATAAAAACTCATATACAGTGTATCTCAAAATTGAGCGGACAGCTGTCCGTACATTTCAGAAAAACAGCTGGACGAGCACAACTTTAAAAGATAGATTTCTTAATTGTTGGCTGCTGGCTCAACAACCATTTATTGGTTATCGGTATAGTAACGGAAATACAATCAGCCAAACGTATTTTAATTTTGCTAATCTGAGGTCATAATATAGATCTTTAAAATGCCGCTTATTTTACTAAAATCCGCCTACTATGAACAAAGTTGAAAATCGACCGTTTTACTGAAATTGCTCAAACTTCATACATATAGGGTGTCCCACATCAAATTGCATCGCGGAAAAAACGCTGTAGGAAATTATCTAGTTGACAGATCCTTTTCAAACTTTCAGACAATAAAATATTACCCAACAGTAAGCTTTTGGAATATTTATTTCATTCAACTTCAATACCATAACCGTGCGCTCGCACCTTACGCTTAACTCCACTCTGTAGGTTCTGTACAACATCTGACTGCAATTTTTTCTGTACGGAAATCTTAGAGAAGGGAGTTCATACGACCGGTTGGGTTGAAACATGAGACTAAACTAACTCTATTGATGCAGTACTGACATTTATAGCATACTAGGATTATTATAATTTCACCGAGTTGCTTCGATCTCCTTCACTCCTCCTCAAGCTCGGTGAGTTGCTTCGATTACTCCTCCTCAAGCTCGGCGGGCTGTAGACCAATTTTCAGGCGCATCTTCTCCATCTTGACGCGAGCCAATGGTTTTTTTAGACCATCGGCAACCATTTGTTTACTGGGGCAATAGCGAACGTCCATCACACTATTGTTGACCAACTCCTTCACAAAATTATAGCGAGTGTCGATGTGCTTTGTTCGGTTGCTACCGCCGGCAGATTTCAGCATCGCAATACAGCTTTGGTTGTCTTCGTGTACAACTACAGGAGCCAGAATTGGTTCTCCGACGTCCTTCAGTAGCTTCATCAGCCACATCAGCTCGCGGCTGGCTTCGGAAAGCGCCACGTACTCCGCTTCGGTAGACGAAAGAGTTACGCATGGTGTTTTTCGGGCTGCCCAACTGATTGGTCCTCCAAGACAGAAGACGAAACCGGTGTTTGATTTCCGTTCTGTCATGTCACCAGCCCAGTCTGCATCGACGTATGCTTCCAGCGGTCCGGATGAACCTACACGTAGGCTCCAATCCACTGTTGACTGGTGATACCGGAGGGTCCTTTTTGCTTCGGTCCAGTCTGCTTCCGTTGGTCGACTCACCTTGCGGCCCAGAATTGAGGCGCTTATGGTGATGTCCGGTCTCGTGTTGACCGCGATGTATAGAAGAGCACCCACCAGGCTCAGGAACTCGTCGTTTCTGGGCATGGGCTCCTCCTCCTCTTGCTGTACATTCGGGTACCCGGGATCCATCGGTATCGGCGAGCGCTTCACTTTTAATTGTCCGATAGTGACAATCAGCATGTCGTCCACATATAGTAATATGAACGTCTTCTTCTTCTTCCAGGTTTTTACGAACAGGCATGGGTCTGCTTCAGATGGCACGTAGCCCAGCTGCTTCCAGACTTCGGTGATTTTTTCATTCCACACCCTTCCAGCCTGCTTCAGACCGTAGAGACTTTTTCGTAGATGCAGTACGTTGTCCTTGACCCCGTTATGGAATCCTACCGGCTGCTTCATGAAAATGGTCTCTTCCAGCTCTCCATGTAGGTACGCCGTCTTCACGTCGACGTGCTTCACCAGCATTCCTCGTCTGGCGGCGACACTCAGCAGGGTCCAAAAAGTGGTTTGCTTGGCGACTGGCGCAAAGACCTCATGGTAGTCGGTTCCGTATTTTTGATTGAATCCTTGCGCTACCAACCTGGCCTTAAAGCGGATCAGGTTTCCGCCCTCGTCCATCTTCTTCGTGAATACCGATTTGCTGCCAATAGCCTTCTTGTTTAGCGGCAAACGGACGACATCCCATGTGGAATTCTCTTCATGCGCCTTCATCTCTTCCTCCATGGCTGCCTCCCACATGTTGCGCTCTGGGCTAGCCATTGCTTCTTCGAATGTGCGTGGCTCGTCGATATATTGCGCTGCTAGTCGCACGGTGTCTAGGTACCGTTCTGGCAGGATGCTCTTTGTGGTACGCTCCGATCGTTGGACTACTGGTACATCAACTTCGCCGACGACGTCATGCTCCTCCTGATAGTCGAATGTCTCAAGCTCCTCCTGCGCTTCTGTTTCCACAAACGTCTACTCATTGGCATCGTCGTAGCTGGTCTCAAACCCGAGTAGATCGGACTCATCCGATTCGTCCTCGCTCTCGTCCACTTTTGCTGGAATAACGGGGACCTCAGCTTTCGAATGCTCTAGGAGTCTAAATGGATAATCAACGATTCTTCCCTTCTGAGGTTCGGCACTCCGAACCTCGTTCAATGGCAGGAACCTGCAGTCCCGACTGACGGTCAGCTTGTCGTTGTTCGGGTTCAAGAATCGGTACGCCTTGTGTTGGGAGGAATAACCAACGAGCAGCAACTTCCGAGATTTCGCTTCTAATTTGTTTCTCTTCTCTCCAGGGATCCACTCGTACGCTGGTGAACCGAGCATCTGGAGGTGGCTCATATCCGGCTTCGTGCCATACCACAGCTCGTACGGCGTTTTCTTCAACGGCTTCGTCGGCAAACGGTTTTGTAGATAGTTCGCAGTGTTAACCGCTTCCGCCCAGTATTTCAACGGCATTCGGAGTCCAGTAGCATGCAGTGCGCCATTTCCACCAGTGAGCGGTTCTTCCGCTCCGCAACCCCGTTCTGCTGCTTAGTGTAGGCGGTGGTAAATTGCTGACGTATCCCCTGCGTTCGGCAGAACGCATCCAACACGTTACTCTGAAATTCATCTCCCTGGTCGGAACGGATGATCTTCGGGGGTTTTCCAAATTCCGTCTGGGCGAACTTGACGTACACTTGAATACGCTGGGAAATCTCGGACTTCTGCTTCAGGAAATATACGACGGTAAGCCGGGTGAAGTCGTCAATAAGGTCCAATGGTTGCTTGGACTTTGGCTTCGACTTCTTGGGGAACGGAAGACGTGTCAACTTGCCCTCAAGACAGCATTCACAGACGACTCGGCAGCCGCACTCTTCCATCTCGATTCCAGTTGCCATACCCTTGGTCACCAGCTCACGGACCGCTTCATGGTCACGATGCCCCAACACACGGTGCCAAGTGTGCTGACAGTTTGACGTATGGTGCTTCACGGCCAGTGCTTACTGGGGTTCCTTCAGGGAGTACAGTCCCCCAGAAATCGTTGCTGCCGCAATCACCTTCTTGTCCTTCAAGATTCGACATCCGTTGACGTCGAAAATGACCGTAGCTCCGTTTGCCGTCAGCTTCTTCACGGAAAACAAACTCGATTCGAAATACGGTACCAGCAGCACCTCCTTGAGGGTTACTATTGATGGCTCACCCTCCGGAGACAGCATAGTTACCTGGCATGAACCGATGCCTTCCGCCTTCGTCGCAGTACCATCGGCCAAAATCACGTCCTGCTTATGACTCTCATGCAGCTCAATTGTCGATTTGGTTCTAACTAGTTTTCAATCCGACAAGTAGGCTTACTCAGATCGGGCTTTTCCGCTGCCGCTGCCGTTCCGCTTCCGCTGTCATTGCGCTTGAGCCTTTACTATTGATGGCTCACCCTCCGGAGACAGCATAGTTACCTGGCATGAACCGATGCCTTCGCTGGAATCAGCGATCCATGAATTTGATACTGTTGCAGTTCCTCTCGTCGCGATCGAATACTCCTTCTTCGGGGTTTCTTCGCGAGCTGCTCGCACCCGTGGTTGGTTTCGCTTATCACGCTGGCCATCTGATGATTTCCGTTCGCTTGTCCGCTTCTCGGCAAGAGATGGACAATCTTTCTGCTGTGCCCCGGTTGTTGGCAAAAATGACACAAAAGTTGCTTCCGCTTCACGTGGGTCTTGAGCACCGAGTCCAGTCCGCCGCTCGAGCAACGTTTTGCCACTTCGTCGACCCCCTTGGATTTGACCAGATCCAGCGTTAACTCGTCGTCGGACTTGCTTTCCAACGCCCTGGTCAGAGTCGAGAACGATTTCGGAAGACTCCGGAGCACCATAGCTACCTGTAGACTCTTGCTCAGTTCCACTCCAGTCAGCGTCAGCCTCTCGAACAGACCCTCCATTTTAAAAATCTGCTGCTCGATGTCTTCTCCGTCGGAATAGCGCTTCTCGCAGATTCGTTTGAGAATCGACACTTTGAACGTCAGTGTTGCCTTCTCGTAATGTCCCCGCAGTTTTTCCCAGGTCATTTTCGCCGTTTTGCAGTCCTTCATTAGGTTCAGCTGGTTATCCTCTAGCAGGAGGCCGATCGTCGCCCGCGCCTTCTGATCACCGCTGTTCCACGCTGCCTTGGTAGCTTCAGTGGCCGTGCCCAAGTAACATTGCAGGTTTTATCGCGGTTTTATAGCATTCTACAAGTCTAAATCAAGGTCTACAGAACCCTCATAAAACCAAAATTGTTACTTGGGTGGTGTCCACCGGTCCGTCACCGGTAAAGTACTGCCACAGGTCTTCTCTAATTAGCAGGAACTCAACCTGGGTTTTCCAGACGCTGTAGTTCGCTCCGTTGAGTTTCATTATTCCCAATCTCTCCATCGTGAATAAATTTTCAGTTGTTTTTTTTCCGGTCCTCTCTAACAATGGCCCATAACCTCTTTGAGAAGGGAGATAATACGACCGGTTGGGTTGAAACATGAGACTAAACTAACTCTATTGATGCTGTTGGAGACAGCCAGTTGCATACCGGTCTTGAAGCGAGCCAAATTGCAGTAGGACAGCTGACTGGGCGTAACGCTACGCTTGACAGGAAAATTGACAGGACAATTGACATCATGGATCACAGAACAGGTGACAGGACAGATAAGGAGAGTTATAAGAGAACAGATAACAAATAGAACAAAAGGAAGACAGATTAAAAACTATTAAGTACTTATTTTCTTTCGCATTTTAAAAGTGTTTGCTAGTGGTATAATATATAGTGAATTCTTTTTTTTTCGTAAGTTTACATGAATTAAAATAAATTAAAATTTATATACAGATAGCACAACACATTAAAAACAGTTTGTTGACACAGTGAACTTCAACACGTGAAGTGGATTAAAATTTGTAAGTTTATATATTAAGTTTTCTAAAATTGATCTAATCATTAAATAAAACTTACAGCTAAAAGCATTCTCACTCAAAACTTGAGTTTGCTAACGGAAGATCCGAAAATTCACCGAAGTTTACATTGCCGTCAGCAACAAACTTTTAGAAATTTTACCGACCATTTGGAGGTTAGCCGGGTCCAGTATCAGCCTGTCGGGAGCGATACGATTCGCCATTGCAAGATGTCCACTCTTAGACCAGGGTCAAAACGTTTGAGTGTCGTTAAGAGGGTCTCAGAAGAGGAGGCGACCACCGAATCTCACTGCCCCGACTGCAATCGACCTGATAATGCGGACCGATACATGGTGCAATGTGACGTATGCCAGAGGTGGTACCATTTCTCCTGCGCCAAGGTGGACGACAGCATCAAAGATCGAAGCTTTAGTTGTATCCATTGTGAAGAAGATGGTGCACAAGCGCTCTCGCCATGTCCATCACGAACAGGAAGTTCATCATCGATTCGCTTGGCGAATATTCAGCTGCAAATGCAGCAAATCGAAGAGGAGCAAAGGGCCCAGGAAAAGTTGATGAAGGAAGTACAGGAGTACGCCAAAGCATTGCTTGAGAAGGCGGTACAGCAGGAAATTGAGAGCAGAACCAAAGCCATGCAGGAGAAGATGGAGCGGGAGTTAGATTTCATCAGAATGAAGTATAATCTTCTGCAGAACGAGCTGAATGAAGGTGAGAATGGTAGCGTGAAAAGTTATCGAAGCCAACGAAGTGCATCTAGCACAGTCCATAAGTGGTTGGAAGCCCAGCGCGAGGCGCTCTTGACAAGTTCCGGGAACAAAAATGCCCCAACTTCCTCAAGGTCTCGAACCGGAGCCATCCCAAAAGGGACTACTGCAACGAAGCCAGTGGACGACAACGTTCAACCAATCATCAAACAAGCCAACACTCAAGCCTAGCAAGCTCAATCTAGTTTGGATTATCCCCTCAATGTGATATCTCCGCCCACTTCACAACAGCTGGCAAATGCAAGAGCCAACCAGGGAATTACATCGGAAGTAGGAACACGTACCAATGAGCTCGAATAGAAGGTTCGAGATCTGCAGCATCAACTAGACAGTCTTCGCCTACAGTCAGCGCTGCAGCCACCGACAGAAGTTTATCATTGTCCGACTAGTCATCAACAGTTCCGGCGGCCCCCAGCGATTGGAAACAGTGCTGCTCTACCGAACAGGTTGGGAAGTATTCCGGCGTGCGAAGGTATGTTCAAACGACCCATAGTTTCATTCCCTTCGTCTCAAATGCCTCCCGTGGATTTCGGAAATATACGCGCCCATCCCGCTCCCAATCGAGCTCCCAATGCAATACCCGTTGCGTCTGGTCCAGTCTCTTGTCCGCCTGTGTCATGCATCCCAAGTTATTCGCATCCGATTGTAACTCCTTGTGTCTCGCAAGCGTCTGGGTTGATTCCGAATGTCCCGAATTGTGGACCCACCGCTCAACAACTCGCTGCTCGCCACGTAGTCCCAAAGGAGCTCCCAATCTTCGATGGCAACCCAGCTGACTTGCCTTTATTCTACAACTCTAATGAAATGTGCGGATACTCTGATGCCGAGAATTTGATGCGGTTGCAGCGTTGCTTAAAGGGTAATGCGCTACATGCTGTTAGCTGTCAGCTTCTTCACCCTTCATCCGTACCGCAGATCATTTCAACATTGCAGATGCTGTATGGTCGGCCTGAGCTGGTGGTGAATAGTCTGGTTAACAAGGTTCGTTCTACACCTCCCCCAAAAGCGGATCGTTTAGAAAGTGTAATTACCTTTGGTTTCGCGGTTCAAAATTTATGCGGCCACTTACGTGCAATGGGCATGGAGAACCATTTGTCCAACCCTACTCTGCTGCAAGAGTTGGTTGGAAAGCTCCCAGCAGGAATTAAGCTGGATTGGGCACTTTATCAACGACAAATTCCTTACGCGGACCTGCGCGCTTTCAGTGACTACATGTCTACAATTGCTTCAGCTGCTAGCAACGTAACGTTCAGCACCGAGGTCATCCAGAAACAGGAGAAGTCGAAGAGCAAAGAAAAGGGCTACGTCAACGCACATGCGGAAGACATCCGAAAGAACGCAGATCAGGAGAATCGGAAGTCGGGTGAGATTAGCAAGGAGAAACAGCCGTATCAACCCAAACCGTGCTCCGTGTGTCAAAAGCTTGGTCATAATATTAGAGACTGCAATGTCTTCAAGAGTCGCAACATCGAAGAACGGTGGAAGCTGGTCCAGCAGTTACATCTCTGCAGACGATGCTTGATTTCCCATGGAAAGTGGCCGTGCAAGGTGTCAGGGTGCGGTATACAAGGATGCGAGCTTCGACACCATACTTTGCTACACCCAGGGCAACCTGAGGGCACATCTGGAACATCTGCACCTGCAACCGGAAATGTGAATGTCCATCGACAAAAGCCACGGTCTACTCTTTTCCGCATCCTACCCGTGACTTTATACGGCAAGGATTCATCAGTCAAAGTATTAGCCTTTCTAGATGACGGGTCGTCGCTCACTTTGATAGAGAAGGAAGTTGCGGACCAGCTCGGTATGGAAGGGGAACTGGAGCCACTTTGTCTACAATGGACAGGAAACGTAACGAGAATGGAGTCGGAGTCAAGGGTCATCCAACTCGGCATGTCTGGGACGGATAGTAGCAAGCGTTATACTCTCGAGTGCGTATGTACGGTTGATCGTTTGGATCTTCCTCCGCAGTCTTTGCAATTCAATCAACTGGTTCAACAGTTTCCTTACCTTCGGGGTCTTCCGGTGAAAAGTTATAACGGAGCCACCCCTCGTATCCTAATTGGTTTGGAGAACACGGAGCTACTAGTAACGTTGAAGAAACGAGCAGGTAGACCTCCTGAACCAGTCGCAACGAAAACTAAACTTGGTTGGACAGTATACGGAACGGTGGAAGGCCTGAACGAACCATTTGAACACCGTCTTCTGCACATCTGTTCTGGTTCCAATGATCGGGAACTACATGACGTTGTCAAGGAGTTTTTCTCGATCGAAAACACTGGTGTAGTGGCTGCGCCAGCGGTAGAAGCAGAAGATGTCCGGCGGGCACGGGAGATCATGCAACGGACCACGGTTCGCACAACTTCCGGAAGGTTTGAGACGGGCTTGCTGTGGCGCTATGATTATATCGAATTTCCGAACAGTAGACCGATGGCAGAGCGGCGTCTTAAGTGCCTAGTGCGAAGACTAGAGAAAACACCTGAACTCTACGAAAACGTCAGGCAGCAGATTGCTTCTTACGAGTCCAAAGGATACGCTCATCGAGCATCGGCGGAAGAGTTGGCCAAATTTGACCCTCGAAGAACTTGGTATCTTCCCCTCGGAGTGGTTATTAATTCAAACAAGCCGGGAAAAATTCGAGTGGTTTGGGATGCTGCGGCGAAGGTGGATGGAGTCTCGTATAACTCTATGCTTCTGAAGGGACCGGACCTGCTCGCGTCTTTTCCTGCGGTTCTACAGCGTTTTCGTCAACGGTAGATAGCAGTAACGGGTGATATCAGAGAAATGTTTCACCAGCTCCTGATTCGCTCCGAAGATCGTCAAAGTCAGCTTTTCCTGTGGTACGACAGTCCGTCTGACGAAATACATGTCTATGTCATGGACGTAGCGACGTTTGGGTCGACATGCTCACCGTGCTCTTCCCAATACGTCAAGAATCTGAATGCAGAAGAATGGAGGTGCGAGTTCCCGGAAGCTGTAGATGATATCGTACATAACCACTACGTGGACGATTATCTCGTTTAATTAGACAGATCAAAAGACAGATTAAAAACTATTAAGTACTTATTTTCTTTCGCATTTTAAAAGTGTTTGCTAGTGGTATAATATACAGGGTGTTTGGTTCCGGGTTTTACATATTTTTAGGGTAGATAGGGCTCTTAAAGTTATGAAAAAATCCCCATGAAACATAGGGTCGAAAATGACTGCTAAGTGAGTTATTCAACATTTTATATTTTTTTGTATTGCCAACTTTTGGTTAGCTATATTTTTTTAATCTTAATGTGGTTTTCTGATTTCAACATACCAAATGAAAGATTAAAGTCTTAGCTATCAATGCTCTTTGAAAAAGAACTCGATTAAAGTTAATTATCATACATTAAAATTGAAAAGTATGTTGAAAGTACCGAAAAAATTGGTGAAATTTCATACATTTTAGTGTTTTTAAGTTGAATATTTTCATTTCTGTTTAATTAGTTGTTCTACAAAACATTTTCCATGCAGTTCTCTAGATTTGTGCCTTTGGTAGTAACCTTGTAGGCTTTATGGTTTCTTCGTAATTATTGATTTAAAACAGCCATAAAAACTTGTGACGTTTTCATAAAATGCGCTATAGTCACCCTATTCGTTCGTACGTTCGACTGTTGCAGTGGACTACGCACATGACAATTTGGTAGAATGTTATTGTAAATGTTTAGCTACATTCTTAACTTTTTATTACCGCACATCTCCTGCGCCGAAAGAAAACATAACTGCGGAGATGTTTCGCGGTATCGAATATTGCTCAGTCTCAGCAGAAAACACAACGAGAGACACCGAATCGGCGAATTCTGCGAGCGGAAGGAAGAGAAGAAGTAGGTAGTGGTAATAAGTCGATGTCCCTTTTATTTCATAGCACTCTCAGCCAAAGATGCCAGATCTACGGAAATCTCCGTAGATCTACGGATTTTACAATTTTTTGCGGAAATACGGATCCGTAGGCAGAATCTACGGAATTCGGTACAGTTTCTACGGATTTTTTCTTCAGTGTACGTTTCCCTTCAGAATCGAATTTTACAATCTGATTCTGAAGGCAAAGAAGCATAAAGTAAAATACACCTCTGCAACTTGTCAACCGTTTTCTTGCTCACTTTTTGAGTATACAAACGTCAGACTGTGCGTGAAACATGTCGGTCTTCGTACTATCTCTTCGCTCCGTAGAAAGCTCCATAATATACAGTCAATCTTTGCATGAAGAGAACACTTTTCGACGGTGCCGTGTGAAGGCGAATAAAAGTCATGTCGAGACCAGTATTGTAAGCGGTCACCGTAGTAGATACATTTTCTGTGACAATCGACTGCCTTTGCTTCCGACATTTGCTTTCAAAATACAGTACCAAACTAAAATGTCATACGACAGGCTCTGGCATACGACACTGTCGCCGAAGACTATCACGGATGTAAGTATTTTAGTTTTTCTCATAATAAGAGCTACTGATGTTGTGCTTGTGCAAGTAACGTTGTCATAGTAATAACCTTTTTGATCAGAAATGGTTTAATTTATGATAGTCATTTGATAATTTTCTTTTTGCTCGAATGTTGTTCTACCGTTTGCGTTGTGTAAGAGAGACGACGCTCTCTTCCCCGTCAGCTCGATGATGATCAGACCTTCAACGTGTTTATCAAAAAGCACGTCATCCATAAGTCGTCGTACTTGTCCGGCTTTATAAAGGAAACTACGGTTAAAGCGTGGCTTTCTTATTAGATTACGACACCACTGTACCACCGCTACGGGATCACAATTGATCAGATCGCCATAGATGGTCTTGAAACCCTTGATCCTCAAATTGAGCTGGAAACCATTGCCGTGGATAATGAGACAGAATTGCTGCTTGGGCAACAGGAAACGCTCCTTTGGTATGAAAACAAATGCCTGGAGATCGCTCCCGTGCAAAACAGGGTTCCTCTTTTCCTGCCATCTACGGAAATTCATGCCAGGGGTTCGGGTGACATATTTCATGATGGCATCCAGTGAAACTCGTCGTCAAGACAGGCGTGTGGTCAAACCACATTTGTTGTATATGACAATGAAAGTTCTCCGGCTTAGAGTTTCCGAAGGCTTGCAATGTACTTTTAAGTGCACGGCAACCGCAAACATTACACGTGGACCTTAAGGACCGCCTTATTCATGGAGCAGTGCATTTAGCGAAATCTATCCGTCCTAAAATCAATACCGAATTCAGTACAGCATTGGCAACAAAGGAAGAGAAATTTGTTCACCATGATGCGACAATTGGGAAAGCCTACGATGTTCATCACACTCAGTGCAAGTGAGATGAAGTGGCCCCATTTGTTGCATCTCCTACATCGATTGTCAGAAGGACACAATGGCAATGACTTAACAGATCCTATCCAGGAATTGACTGCACTACAAAGAGCAACTCTGATGAATGATGATCCAGTCACGTGCTGCGTGTACTTCAACAAGCTGGTTGACACCGTGGAAGTCCTCACACGCACATCTTGCTATGGCTGAACAAGGATCCCCGGGAAGCAATCAGTGAAAGTATGCCAAAAACTACAGGTGCAATACTATCGGCCCTTTTCAGGCCCACCAAGATTTTCCAAAAGAGTTAAATTTCTGAACATTTCCCAACTAAAATTCATATCAAAAGCTTCGTTTCAGGGCAATCATAGTCATACTAAAGAGTATAAACAGAGAGAACCCCGCTCAAATTTCTATTCCTACACAAAACCTAAGTCCTGCTTCAGTTAACAAATAACATTTATTATATAAGACCACGTAGTCCGACGTCACCATTGCGTACAACCCCAGAGGGCTGTCCCTAGTATTTTTTTTCAAAAGGTTCTTTCATCGATTTATAATTTAACGTAAAATATCACCTTCGTCTAAAAATATCCGTAGAAATCCGTAGATTTGAATAAGTCTACGGAATTGCATAGAAAAAAATCTGGCATCTCTGCTCTCAGCTCAGCTGCGGTGCTGTTTTGATGGAGGAGTGTGGAGCTCCGCTGCTTCTGTATACACACTTAGATTTTTTTACAGGAGTTAGTATTTTTACTGGTTTTTGGATTACTGACTCGGTTAAAATTCAAATGACTGTTATTCGTAAAGATTGGATAAAATAAAAAAAATAAAATATATTTTTCATAATTACACGGGGTTAACAGAAGTTAGTCTCTAAATTTTCGTAACACATTTTCTCAACTTTGAATTTTTCACAGATTTTTTTTAAATTTTACCGAAGAGTTCCGCTATTTAAAAACTCGGTAAAAATTACTGACTCGATAAGTGTGTACTGATGTGT